TTTTCCTTTTGAGACAGAGTTTTTGCTCTGTCACTCAGGCTGGAGCGCAATGACACGATCTCGACTCATTGCAACCTCCACCCCTTGGGTTCAAGTGATTCTCCTGCCTCAGACTTTAGGGTAGCTGGGATTACAAGCCCGCACCACCACACCTGGCTAGTTTTTGTATTTTTAGTAGAGATGAGGTTTCGCCATGTTGGCCAAGGTGGTCTCAAACTCTTGACCTCAGGTGATCCACCCACCTCAGCCTTCCAAAGTGCCGGTATTACAGGGGTGAGCCACCATACCAGGCTGCCAACAACCATTTCTTAAGACAGTCTCCAGTCCTCTCCCAAACCTGGTTACCACCTCTGGACCCATCCTATGTATTGTTTTCCTCAGCACGTAAAAAGTGTTAAGGCCAGGATGAAATAGAGCAAAACTGTCACCTCCATTGTCCTAGACGCCATATTCCTCTCAATGCAACCTAAGGTCATACTTCAACATCCGCACATCACACAATCAACCCTGAACAGGGTACTCCTATAAGCTTGAGTTTTTCTACACATGCTGTTGCACAGCCACACCTCCTAGACCCTACACTCAAAGAACATAGGCTAAAGCTTCCTCAAACCTGAACAAACACTGCGGAGCTTCTGCAGATTCTCAGGCCCCACCCCAGACCTGAGAACAAACCATAGTAGAGGTTCACTGCTGGATGGATGGATGGATGGATGGAGGGATAGATGGATGGATAGATGATGACTGAATGGATGGATGGATGATGATTGGATGGATAGATGGATGGTTGATTAGATAATGGATGATTGGATGGATGGATGGATGATTGGATGGATGGATGATTGGATGAATGGATGATTGAATGGATGGATGATTGGATGGATGGATGATTGGATGGATGGATGATTAGATGGGTGGATGATTGGATAGATGGATGGATGATTAGATGGGTGGATGGGTGGATGGATGGATGGATGATTAGATGGGTGGATAAATGGATGGATAATTAGATGGATAGATGATTGGATGGATGGATGGATGATTAGATGGGTGCTGATGGTAGTCAATGACCATGTGCTGAACTGAGTCCTGGGGAGGCCCCCACACTGGGGTCTCTGCCTAGACTCACCTGCAGGCGCCAAATGCGCTCGCTCTCCTTGGAGACATTCTCCACAGTCTCTCCCATCAAGGCAATGAGCATGTTGAGGAGCAGAACAAAGGTGAGGATGACATAGGTGATGAGCAGGAACAGAAAGAGAATGGGATACTTGGAGTTCTGCTGGATGTTCAGGTCGCCCAGGCCTATGGTGAGCTTGAAGAGTTCCAGCACTGCGTCGCTGAAGCTGCCATAGGAGCTGCAGTCCTTGTTGTCTTTGGGACACTTCTCGATCAGTGAGGCCAGGGCTAGGGGAACATAACAGGGTGCTCTCCTCAGCTCTCCGCCTGGCAAATTACTCTACAAGCTTGCATGTATTTGCCCACACAACAAGCCTACTGCCTCATTCTCTCTGGCCATTAATCATCTCCAGCTTCAGGTACTCCCAAAGTCTCATCAGCCTGGTATATCCGCCCTGGCCTCCTGCAGAAAGTCCTCTGCCTAACAAAGCCCGGAGTCTTCTCTCCTTCCTCTAACCCCTAGTCTGCCCTTGATCACTTGCAGCTTTGCAGAGCTGCTAATTATAATCCATGTGTGTGTCCCTGGTTTCCCAGCTTGTCTTTGAACTCCTGACTTCCTCTAGTCTGGGTCACCACCCTCAAAGCTGTAAGATCCTGAGTCTCCTCCTAATGCTCTGTTATGAGCTCCCCATGAGCAGGACCAGGTTCACACTTCCCTTCTTTCCAACACACCACTGTAGAGGTTCACTGCTGAATGGATGGATAGATTGATGGATGGATGGATGATTAGATGGATGGATGGATGAATGGATGGATGGATAGATGGATGATTAGATGGATGGATGGATGAATGGATGGATGGATAGATGGATGATTAGATGGATGGATGGATGGATGGATGGATGGATGATTAGATGGATGGAT